ATTCGAAGCCATTTGGTAGCTAAACAAAAGCACTACTTTGCCTTTTTGCAGGATTAACTAACTAGCTAAAGCAAATGTGAAGACTTTGAGACAAAGACTCGAAATCCAACCATTACATAAATCCAAACGGGTCAATTGTAATATTTTAATAATAGACTTTGATGGGTCCCTTCACATTAAGTCAGCAAAATCTTCCACTAATTGGAAAGTTTCATACATTTTCCATGACAATGACTGGCACTAAGCTCACAAGACTATAAAATTTAACAATAAATAAATAAATCTAGAATTATAAGACCTAATTTACTTGATGTATTGATTAAATAATTTAAAATGATTTAGTTATATTATTTGTAGTAATAAATTTGATACATAGCTTTCAAGAATGGTTTAAATAATTAAAGAGATATAAAGCAGATGACAAAGTTCGAAATTACATTAATGTATAAAATAGTAGTCGAGTGAGGAAGGATAGCATAAACATCATTTTTTAATAAATGAATGATATTGATTTCGAGGTATTAAACGAGTCGGTCAAACTTACGCGACACAACACCCTTGGTGGCCCATTTTGGCCCGATAACACAACCCGCATTAAGATAGTGTTTGATGGAGATTAAAATTAGATTTTTAGTAGATTATGATAGAAGTTTTTGAAATGTGTGGTTGAAAAGTTGTGGGACCTATGAAAGATATGGTTAATATTGATTATTTGACTTTGACAATGGGCTACGTATGAATGATCAAATGTTATAATTTTAGATAATCGTAAAAAGCATAAAATAATGATATATAAATGTCACTCAAAGGCAAAACACTAGTCAATTTTAGGTCAAGCCAAATATTAATAATGTTTTGTGGCCATGATGGGGCAGACAAGAATTTGTTTCACAATCAAAGATATTACTTCAACAATATAAATTGGAAATAAGTGAGTGGTTCAAAATCGAAATTATTTTCTCTTATACCTAGTACAATTATAATAATAGTCAAGTGCATCAAGGTCTGTAAATTTAAAAAAAAATAAAAAAAATAAAAATCATAGTAATAAAAAAAAAAATTATTGCCAATTTTTCTATAACCAATTTAATTTATATGACATTTTGATTCGATCTTTGATTGTGACATAGTTTAGTATTGAATCAATTAACATAATGCAGTACACAATTTTGATTCGATTTTGACACAAGTAAATGTGAATCAAATAATTTGAGAGTTTTAGATCAAATCTTAAGATTTTCTTCTTCTTCTATTTTTTTTTTCAAAAATGATCATAGAATTCAATTCTAAGTTGAAAAATGATATGAGGATCAAGCAGGACTATGGACAACAACTATTAACCATTATCGATATACATTCGTCAGCAATGGCTCGAGATTCTTTAGTGGTTGATCACTGATTAAGTAACACACATCCTTCCTCATTTTTTTAAATATTTTACCAGTAACTTAAGTAAGTATTCTTTTATTTTTATCTATAATATTACAACAATTATTCTATGCTCGACGAAATTTTCCTTCATTAATATTAATATTTGTATTTTTATTGCTTTATTGATTGGCAAGAATTTTATTAGTAAAATAAATTTACTAAAATACTTATTTTTTTATACTATTAACTAAAAAATATGTTTATAAATTATAATTGTAAATTGTTATTTAACTGTAAATAGAATTGTTGCTTTGATGTTGGTCACAGGAAGCCACGTGTACAAATCACACTTGTCATGTAATGGATGTACACAGTAGAGTACCCGCAGACAATTAGACTTCCTCGAGCATCCACCAATCAAAAACAAGACAAGCATCAATACCATATCCGTAATTATAGCTAAGATAAAGGTTATTTATGTAATTTTCACCTAAACCTTATTAGAAACCTCATCATTTCCTACCAACAGGTGTCAGTAGTGGGACCCACATTTTGTCTGATTCATGGTTTTAACCAATAAATCCAATCTGAAATAGAAAATTCAGAGCCCTATTCAATGACAATTAAATATTAATTTCCCAAAATATTAACAACTAGATTAGAGAACGATTGTGTACCACGTTGGTTATGTTTCTTGTTAAGAAATAATGCACGCTGGTACATCCCTAGTCCAAGATCCTCGAGATGAGGGATCGAGTCAATAAGTATGTAGAGTTTAATGCACGAGTTGACCATAAATTCACATATCAAATCAAAAACAGATAAAACTCTGTTCAATAAGCGAAACATACTATTATAATTAATGGTTGAAGAAGGATGATAATTAGTTCTTAAATCAACCTTCTTTATATCAAAGAGTTGGTTTATTACGCTATCTACATTATCTCAACCGATAAAAGCACTCGATGGATGCCTATGGTTACAGACCCTGTCCGATATTCAGTAAGCGAAACGTACTAATTGTCCATTCTCAGATTGATTATTAAATCATTAATGGTCGAAGAGCAATCAATTATTCTTATAATTAAGGAGTTAATTCATTAAATTTTTTATTTTTTTAACACTATGGCTGTGTTTGTGTCCTATTTAAAAAAAATGAAATTTGCAATAATAATTTTTTAAGGATGTGTAATTAAAAAGTATGAAATTTTTTGAGTTTATTTGCAAAATTATTTTATTAAAAGAATATATAATTAAAAATAAGTTTTAAAAAAATGATTTTTTGGGGAACGTAGCTGAAACAAGACTATACATTGCCCCCGTTTGGTCCCATTAAAATTATAATTCATTTTTTTGTTATCAATCACACATTCTTTAATAAAATAATATTACACGTAAACTCAATTTTTTTTTTAATTACGCGTTCTTAAAAAAATATTATTTTAAAAATTATAATCTTAAATAATGGGCCAATCGGGAGCATCAATTACTGACTTTTTCTATGTACAACTGTACAAGTACAACCTTGAATTCGGATATTTAAATACGTATAAAAATTTTATATTGCAATAATAAATTTTCATTAATATCTTTACCGAACATGGAAGGCCGAGAGAATCTAGAAATGCCCTTTATTTCGTTTCCTAAAAAAACCTAGAAATTTATAATTATAAGTAGAGAGAGAAATTCAAGAAAAAGCAGAGAATAAAAGAGACCAGATGTTGACAAATTTTGTGTCACTGTTCTTAGAAGGTTGATTGTTTTTGTGAAGATTTCTTATCTGGGATCTCTCTCAGTAGAAAAATAATAATAAAAATATTACTTGTGTAATATATACATTTGCAAAAGTTCTTTCTCTTCATATTTTTCCTTTAGAACTTGCCTTTTTTTCCCCTTATTTTCAGAGAGAGAGAGAGAGAGAGAGAGAGAGTGGCCCAGTAGATCGAAATCTCCGGTCTTTAGTTGAGTTTGATGAGGATCCAAGCTTCTTCAATGGGGTTACCAAACCTCTTACTTTATTTTTTCATTTTTTTTATTTGATAATCATAGTTACTTTTGCTCTTGTTGGCTTTTTTTTTGGTGACTTTTGCTCAGTTCTGTAGTGTAAGAAAAACTCTGAATTTTCAATGATTCTGATAAGAATTCTTCAGGGGGAGTGATATCAGGATGTGGGTCTAAGGTAATTATATATTTTTATTTACTCTATGGTTTTTTTAGATTTATGGGTTTTGATTGAACTTTACTCATAATTAATTATCTGATTAGTTCAATTATAATTGTTTCTAAATGACCGAGTTTTTCAGATTATGGTTTTTATTGGTATGGATAATTGGATTTGTGCATTTGCTTTACCAGATTATGAATTTTTTGTTTATTAATTGATATGTGCTGATTGATGGTTGGATTTGATAACTGATATTTTTATGTAGGATCTACTTAACTTCTGTCTCTCTTAGTCCAGTCTTGCATAGGAAAAAATGATTGCATTAAAGGGTTTTTAGTGATAATTGAGATTACTTATTTTGTTTTGGTGTTGGTTTCTAATTCTTGTGCCTTATGTTAATCTTTCTGTCGAATTGCTCATGGGAAGCATATCTTAAGTCCTTGATATTATGCCTAAGTCGAATTGCTCTGAGTTTGATCAAGTTTTGGAAATACAATTCTTTTTTGAAATGTGCTACATTGGGACCCGTAAGTTATTATTATTATTATGCGCTCCATGTAGAGGTAGGTACTCTCGTTACATTAGTTTGAGAGAATCCTTTTAGCACATTATGTTTCCAATATCGATCAAGCTGTTTATCTTTTTCTTTTTTTGGGTGCATGCTCAACTTGTGATCTATGTTTCTTTCCATGAATGTCACTGTTTTTAGTTGAACTGTGTACTAATCAATGTTTATACGAGCAAGATGGGTGATGTTTCTATATAAACATGGGCGTCCTTGCTAATTAAATTTGATTCTATTTTTATGATGCGAAATAATGACGTCTAAAAATTGAAATATGTATGTCCACAGTTCAGTAAGTAATTTTTGTTGCGTTATGTCATAGTAGAAAATGAGACTTGTTGAGTTGCTTCTCCTTCGAGATAAGAAAAAATGTCTTCATCACGTGGTTCTATTAGCCACATGTCATGTACATTCCCAAGACTTTTACATCCAACATCCTGATTTCATCCAAAAAAGCGGCTATCCCAGCATTTAGGCAAGCTTTCAAACTGTGATCTCACTGCAAGCATTTGTCTTTATTCACTTTTGTGGTATAACATTCAATGTTTTATCAAGTGCTTGGTGAATGTTATTATCCTGATTTTCTCCACAATACAATATTCATTGGATTTTAGCGAACCAATTCTTAGTGCATTACGAATTGGACTAAATGTGTTGTTACTTGCAAAAAAATTAATAATTCACCTTTTTCATACAATATTTTCATAGTTAATGTAACAAATACATACAAGTTATATGCTAAGAATGAAAATTGCAGTCGTCATTATCTTGCAATTTGTAGACTCCAAAAAACATGAACCTGTAAAGAGAAATTTACTTTTATGTTTACTTATTCGATTATTCTTTGCAGGGATGGGAACAAAATTGCACTGTGAAAGTTACCTAACAGGGTATTACTCCATGAGGAACCTCAATGAAGATTCTAGCTGCAGTAGCTGGCCCCTATCTTACGGAGATAAGAACTTAACAAATGGACAATGTTACAATGGGTTCACGCCGAGGGTTATAACGGATGGATATCCTGGGTACGATAAGAACACGTTAAGGCAGAAAATACTTGAACATGAGGCAGTTTTCAAGAATCAGGTACCTTTTTTATCTAGTTATTCTCGTTCAATGTGGTGCTCTAGTGATCCAGCATTGTTGCAGAAGGCCAGTTATATGAATATTTAATGTTGCCTAGGTTAATGAACTCCACCGTCTTTATGGAATTCAAAGAGACATGATGGAAGAAATCAAAAGGAAAGAACTACATAAACATTGGGCATCAGTCGAACCATCATCGTCATCGAGTCGTCAAGGATCTCAAATGCCTCAAGACAACACTCAAACATGTTATACAGCGGGCTTCCCCTTGTTAAATTCTGGTTATGGTAGAACATCCATGTCTGGAGTCGAAATTGTTAATTCTCCTTTGAGTTGTACAAAAGGGTACAACATGCATGCTGGTCATAGCCCATTGCAAAATGGATGTACTTCAAAAGACTCTGAAGCATTGGACTCGAGACCCACTAAGATGAGGAAGAAGTTGTTTGATCTTCAACTTCCAGCTGATGAGTACATCGATACTGAAGAAGGAGAAAAGTTACAAGACAACAAAATATCCGGCACTTTGAGTTACACTTCGAACGTAGATCAAAAAGTTATACCTGAAAGAAGTATGGAGATTTTCCTTGGTGCCTCTGGTAGTGGAAAGACTTGTCGCCAGAAAGATGCTTTGGGTTCTGGGTCCTGTTTGAGGAGCTCTTCTGGTTTGGCGGATCTAAATGAACCTGTTCAGCTTGACGAAGCAACAGCTCCTTCATCAGCTGATTTGCTTGGTCATACTTCCAACCATGGAGAGACTAAACCCATAAGTCTATCTACTAAACCAAATGTGGGATTTCCTTTCTTAAATTCGTTTCGTGAGAGCAATGTCAATGAAAGGGGGTGGCTCTCCCATAAATATGAAGCAGGTAAAGAGATTTTAAAATCTCTGTGATATACGAGTGCTTCATCGTCTTTACTGTTTTTCTATTTCTGCTATGTGCTTATGTCCATTAACTTGTGTCCATTCAAGTGATATTGCATTTTAGCATTAGCATACCAAGTAAAGGAAACTGAAGAACTTTATGCATCAGATATCAATTTCAGAGGAATATTACCCACTTCTAACTTTTCTTGGAATTTCATTGTAAAGATTTATTGAAAATCCATATTATGTTACAACATGCTCGTGTGTAAATTTGTTCTCTCTGTCTACTTTCCTGAGAGACATCTTGAAGTGACTATTGGCTTGTCTTTATTTGCCACGAACTTTTCCTGGATGCTGACAATTTTGAACTTCTCGAACCTTTTACAGGGCCCAGTAAAGGCAACCCGAATTTGGTAACTCGAAGTCTCCAACAAGATAAGGTTCCTATTCCTTCTCACCCTGCAGAAGTCCTGCTTAACCGGGCTCATCATCCTCCAGGAATATATCCAACTGGACATAGCGTGGAAGGTATATGGAGAAATAGGCTGGACCCTGGTTTAGAATCCTCAAATAGAAATAACAATTACTCCAATTACAGCCATTTGGATCCCGCTGTGGCTTCTCATATCCCCAGTCCATACCCATTACTTCACTCTGGTTTTGCCAATTCATTGTCTCAGTCCGTCCCATCTTGGGGTAAGCCAACAAGTAGCCTTGGTCAAAAGATAACCACATCGAGTAGGAGTGTGCAGCCATCTGCTCAGAGGCAGGAATCTTTTGGAGACAAGTGGAATGTTCGTTCTCGGTTGAATCCAGGCTCAGGAAGTGATATGGCAATCTGTAATGGGTTCTATGATGGGTCTGTCTTAGGATCCAAAGAACCAGTTCATTTACCTTCGTCCGGCTTTGATTTTCTTAAGTGTGGTAGGGGTGATAATATTGCATCTGAATGCTCGGTGAATCCTGGATTTGAGAAGTTTCTGAAGGGCACCAGTCATGGGAACCTGACCGGGGTAACGACACAGAGTTCTCCAATTGAGGCTGTTTCTCTGAAAGATTTTAATATGGTGGATAGAAATAATGCTGCCAAAGACCATTTGCCGGTGTTTCCTTGGCTTGGATGCAAACCAGTTGACAAAAAGGAGGCTGCCAAAGTGAGGAAACCGGAACTCTCTGAAATCTTGGGCTCCTTTCAAGCTTCTTCTAATCCATTGTGTTTTAGGAGTGAAACAGTAAGAGATCTTAATGAAGTGTTCACTCCAGATGTCTCTCTGGCTTCAAATGATTGTGAGATCGTGGCGAAGGGGGAGATAGGAAAGAATCAGAATAGTCAGAAAATTCTCGGGTTTCCGATTTTTGGAATCCACAATACCCCTATACATGAGTCATCATCCCTTGTTTCAACCTCAGTGACTCTTGATTGCCCTTCCGAAGGAAAGAATGTTAAAAATGAAAAGAAAAATTTATTATTTGATATTAATCTTGTTTATGAATCAGAGGAGCAGATAGCTGCAGATGAACTTCTTGTAGAGAACAAACTGCATTCGATGGGTACCGGTATCAGGAGTCAAATAGATTTGAACACTTGTATTAGCGAGGATGAAGATCAATCTGCACCCTCTGTTGCAAGCAACGGCGCCAATGTGAAGATCGTAATGGAGATAGATCTGGAAGCTCCGGTTCTTCCCGAGTTGGAGGATGATGTTATACCTGGCAAAGAAGATAGACTGAATAAGGCATCTTTGCATTGTACTGAAAATAAAGCCGAGCAGGTGCAGGATGAAGTTGTCAGGAACGCGGCAAAAACAATATTTTCCATCTCATCATCTTGTCAGCAAATTCACAACGAGGATAAAATTTCTTACCTGTCTGAAGCTTCTTTGGCAGAATCAATCCTCTGGTTTGCCGATGTTGTCTCGTCATGTGCAAATGAATTGAAAGGAAAAGATGTACCCATTCATGATCTTCCCAAGGAGATGGACGATTTTGAGGCCATGGCATTGCAACTCTCGGAGACCAAGGAAGAAGACTACATGCCTAAGCCACTTGTTCCCGAAGTCCTAAAAGTCGAAGAAATGGGAACCCCTCCATTACCGAGTAGATCCCGAAGGGGCAATGCTAGGAGAGGAAGGCAACGGAGGGACTTTCAAAGGGACATCCTTCCCAGTTTAGCATCATTGTCAAGGCATGAAGTCACCGAGGATATTCAGATATTCGGAGGGCTGATGAGAGCCACTGGCCATTCTTGGAATTCAGGATTAATTAGAAGAAATGGCACGAGAAATGGTGGAGCTCGGGGAAGGCGATGTAAACTCGTTGACACTACGTCTGCACCTGTTGAAAGTCCAGTTTGCACTCCGCTGATGCAGAAACTTAACAATGCCGAACCTGGTTTGGAGGATAGAAGCCTAACGGGGTGGGGGAAGACAACTAGACGTCCCCGCCGGCAAAGATGCCCTGCAGGTAATCCTCCGATCGTGCCATTAACCTAATATGGATAAGAGGCTAAAATGTATTGGTTCCCCACAGCAAGAAATTAGGAAGCTTTTTTAATGACTTTCGGGAATGAGTTGATCGATGTCGCCTTTGTAAATGTCATTGTAGCTTATAATTTGTGATTTGGTATTATATAGAAATAATGTTTCCTGATTTCTTCTGGATAGAGTCCTTTGAATATCTTCTGAGATCAATTATGTTAAGACAGAATGCAATTTTTTTGTCTTGTGACCTCTGTAATAGCAAGGCTTCGGCCTGTGGTATTGCTCTATTTTCGCTTAATAAACATTACGGCGTGTTTGTAAGTACTCTTTCATTATCGTTCAAGGGTCAAACTCAGCACTCAACATTAAATATATTTCACATGACATTTTAACGTTCAAGATGTTAGAATAGAATGTCACGTTGAATACTTGAATCGAAGTTCTCATGATATGTAACGATCTGACCTCTTTGCTCAAACCGCTATATCATACGTACTGTTTTATTTGGGAGAGTCTAAATTCATTTTACTCTTTACGGCTTTCTATTGCGTTCCTCGTTATTCGAACCCAAGACTTCTACCTTATAAGAGACTTAAGTTGAATCTTGGCACTGACTGACGCGTTTTTGTAATGATTTGAATTAGAAATTAAAGTTGTTACACGAAAATTTTTGCCAATCTTCTTTTAATTCTAAATTACATAAAAAGTCGGGTGTCATTTTAGCCCTTGTTTGACAATCAATTTTTCAAAATTCTTTTAACTTTTGTATTCATTTTCAACTACATATTTACACAATAAAATACTTCTACGTTAATCTAAATTTTTTAATTCAAAAAGGGTGAATGTACAGCTTTTTTACACAGTAAGTTTGACAACACTCTCACATGGGTGTGGGGTCCGCGGTTGTGGGCCACACCCCATATGAGAGTGTTGTCAAAATGTATGTGTAAAAAGGATGTAGATGTAGATGTAGCATTTTCTTTAAAAAAATTATCATTTAACATTTTATTTTTTCAAAATAATGACGAAAGCATTTAATATTGGATGGACGACAGAGAGAGAAATATAGTATTATATTATAGTAAGTACATGTGGTAGTGTGTGGATAAAGACTGACGTGTTTGTCGTTTGTTTGAGTTCGATCGCACTTTGTGATTCTTAGATACTCAATCAACCAATCAAAATAAAACTTTTATCATTCTCAGTTTCTCTTTTTCTGAATTATAGCAGCATATCCTACTTTTGTCATTTTGTCCCCACAATTCCACTCCCATATTATTCTTTATTACTCACATTAATTTAATTCATTTTTAATATTTTAAAATTAACTTGAAAATAAATATATATAGAGTCAAAGATCAAAATATTTGATTAGGATAAAATTGGTAGTAAATATAATTTAATTGGCACGTTGCCTTGACACTACTTTTTTTTTTTT